TCTTCCTTCAAGAATGAGGTTAACATAAATGCACAAGTTTTGTAAAGTTAAATGGGCTGGATTTTTACTTACTGAACTTCAAGTGTGCTGGTGCAAATATATGGAAGGAGTCTGTTCCAGACTCCATTTGTCTTTTGCCGAAGCTCAGACTCTGACACAGGGTCGGGAACGTTGGAAGCTCTGTCTGACGTGTCTGCCTCCGCGACTAGAAAGGAGAAGCGGCGATGGAAGATGCAGAAGATGATGAAGATGAAGAACTTAAACTGCCGCTAATCATGTTACTTTCTTTCCATTTAAAAAATCATTAACCATATACGGCTAGGTACTTTCTTCTCCTTGCCAAGAGTTTCCGTCTTCCATGCGAAATGCTGATGAAATGGAGAATTAACTACTCTCACAGGATTTTCCTTGCAGATTAATATGGAATATGTCTCTTTCAATAAGTTCTCCAATTCAGATTTGTTATCACAATGTTCCTGTCGTAATGGAAAGCCTGCAAACGCATCATGAGTTTTGTCGAGTCAGTTTTCTACTCGCACGTGAGCCAACTGACATTAATTGGTGGTCGCTCCGTGCCATTTAAACAATGGGGAATAGTAGACATTGAATGAGCACAAAATACACCGACGCTTTTGAAGAAGAAATTAAATTATTTTCAATGGTATTGTTGAGACTATTTGAAAATACTTTACTGATTGAACAACTAATGCACCAAAATGACTTATTTTGAAGCAATTATGACAATTAAACGGTTAAAAGTTACTTACAAATAAGTCATACTTCATCCAGTAATAACAAATATCAGCAAGAGTTGCAGTTTTTGCAAATTATTCAGTTATATAGTCAACCATCACTTCGATCAAGGCATATTGCAATCCTCAGAGGTACTCGTAATAAACCGCATGATCCCGCCTCTTGATCATTCAGCTAGAACTACAGCAGAACACTATGCTCTGTTGTTCGCAGCTCAACGATTTGCAATCCGTTGACAGCCTAGATGCATTGATCCGATGTTCGGTGCATTTCCTATTAAAAGTAATCAGCGGTTCACAGTATGCTCAAAACAGACAGAGGTAAAGGGAAGGTCGTGTGGTAAAATTACGTCAATGGTTTAAAACGAAGTTTTGAGTGCAGCTGAAGGAAACCAGAAAACATCTGAGCGACAAGAAGGTCGAATTCCGCCTAACATAGAACAAGTACTCTACAGTTGCTCTGAGTTTGATCGCAGAACTGTTCCTTATTTTACTGGACTACTTTTAGGAAGGTATCGATGCGATGCAATTGGCGAAGAAGAAAGGTTTCACCATATTGGGGAAAACGAGCATTTTAGTCCGGCTTTTCTAACCAGTGAGAAGTGCTCTTACGAGAAATGGAAAGTTCTTCATAATCAGGGCTTCAAATTAAGCATAAATTATGACGACGGACAAAGAGGAAAATGATTTAGTTGACAATAACATAATTTGTTATCCTTAGATAACTTAGATGACAATGAAAACAATAACAGCACAGAAGTAATAGTCGGCATGTCCAAGAACATTCTGACGAAAACAGAACAAAATTATTCTGAGGGATGAAAGATCTACTGAATTTAATTCATATCTAACTTCATTAGTCACTCATTTCTCTAGTGTGGCAACAAACACCAACCTCCTGGCTGAAGACGTCTGTCTGGCTATTGAAACGCGACATTAGGCAAGTGCAAACGTAGCGGATATTGTACAAACTCCCATATTCTTGACAAGTGGTTGAAGTTTCAATGAGAATCATATTCCAAACACCTTCATGTTTTGTTCTTCATCTTCATCTTCCATCGCCGCTTCTCCTTTCGGGTCGCGGACGCAGACGCGTCCGACAGTGCTTCCAATGTTCCCGATCCTGTGCCTGAGTCTGAGCTTCGGCAAAAGACAAATGGAGTCTGGAACAGACTCCTTCCATATGTTTGCACCAGGTTAACCTTTGGCCGTCACCTGGGCCTTTTGCCGGTCGGATTTGTAAGGAACAGTTGCTTAGCCTTCCTTTCTGGAGGCTTGGCCGTCCCCTGGGCCTTTTGCCGGTCAGATTTGCAAGGAACAGTTCCTTAGCCTTCCTTTCTGGAGGCACGTCCCCTGGGCCTTTTGCCGGTCGGATTTGCAACGAACAGTTGCTTAGCCTTCTTTCATGGAGGCATTCAGCTTCGGCAAAAAGACAAATGCAGTCTGGAACAGATTCCTTCCATATGTTTCCACCAGGTTAATCTTGGCCGTCTCTGGGTTTTTGCCGGTCGGATTTGCAAGGAACAGTTGCTTAGCCTTCCCTTCTGGAGGCATTCGCAACACATGCCCAAGCCATCGCAGCTCTGACTTCTCAATCTGAAGAAGCAAATGCTGTATACCAAGGCTCTTCCAGATATCAGTATTCCAGACCATGTCGAGATGCGTAGGGCCAGCGACTCATCCAAGAAAGCCCATTTCAGCAGCTTGTACCCGGGTTCGAAGTTTTTCAGTGATGGTCCACGATTCATGA